CCATTGCACCTGTCTGTTTATACCCTGATGCCTAGATGGACAAGGTGTGTGTATGTGCGTGTGTGTGTGTGTATGTGTCTGAGTGAGTGTAAGGAGGCTGCAGGAAGAGGAACAGTGGGGGATGGGCAGGAAAGTGGGCTGTGGGGTCAGAGAGGCGATTTCACATTCATAGGCCCTGACTCAGCAGTTCCATTCTCTGGCTCCTTCAGTGGCTTTGGTGGGGATGCCCTGAGGGTCTCTCCAAGGTCAGAGTGGGCCCCAAGTCTGGGACCTGGCTTAGGGATCACCCTTCTCGACTCCTAGGAAACACTCCTTGCAGCCTGGGTCCCCCTCTTACCCCGTCACAGGCTGGGGAAGGAGGTTCCCTTTGGGGGGCTGGTGTCCGTGTTAAGCCACTCAGTAACTGACCACTCTCTTCAAAGTGCCTGGGCAGGGGTCCAGGATGACTGTGGGCAGGTCTCCTGGGTGCACCTGTTCTGGGCATGCATTAATTGCCTGGTGTGGGTACCTGTGTGCACAAGTGTGTGTATTCTTGGGCAGTATATGCTTCCTGTGGGTGTGTTACCATGGTGGGGCATTTCTGCAGTGTTCTTGTGTGTCTCTGGGAATGCCCAGTGTTCACAGCTAGGTGTGCATGGCTGTGAGTGCCCGATGTGCATGCATTGGTGGTTGAATGTAAGTGTTCTTGCATGTTGCCTCTGGCTAAGGAAGTGCCAACTACCACCAGCTGTGCAGATCACAGACCCTGCAACAGAAATCAGGGTCCGGGAGTGAGCTGGCAGAATGGTCTGGCACGTGTGCGCGCACACACACACACACACACACGCACACACTCTCTGTCTCATTCAGCAGCCCAGTGACCAGCCTCCGGGTACACACACTAGGTGCCAGTGTGTGTACACTTTTATTGGCGGAGTGAGTGAAGGGCGTCCCCCAGTCCCCCACACTCGTACAGATGCACAGTGATGCATTTACCCTTACAGGAGAGAGCTGCGCCCCCCAGCACCACTCTAACTCTGAAACTCATGGATGGGAGGAGGAGAACAGAGAAGGGGGCTGCTGCCAGGTGCCCTCGGTCACCAGGCATGTGCAGCCGCAACCCCGCCCCCACACCTACTCGTACCCTAGTCCAGGGTTCCAGGCAGAACTTAGAGTTTGGCCTCAAACTCTGGGATTCCCATGAGGCAGGACTGGGAAACCCCCAAGTCCTAGGTCTACCCCGCCCCCATCTCTGCCTTTCCTTCCCCCACTGTTTCCGTCTTTATCCCAGCAAAGCCCCTTCCTCTTCAGTGCTGGGGGCTCCAAGCCAGGGGCCCTCCGGATGGTGGGAGGGGGGGCCAGGCTACCGGCTGGAAAAAGCCCCCAGCAGCCGTGCACCCACCGGGTTCCCCTTCTCTAGTCTCCTCGAAGCCTGGGCCCGTCCCTGAGCATAGCCGGCAGAGGGCGCTGCGGCCCAGGCCCCGCACCAGCCCTGCTCCCGCGGCGCCCCAAGTCGGGGTCCACAGCCTCTCCTTCGGCTCGTCCCAGCCCCTGTGCTGCGCGAAGACCCCCCCGGCCGTTGCGGGAGGGTGCGGGACCCAAGGCCCCGAACCAAGGGGCGAGGGGCGAGGGTTCCTGGGTTCCTGAAAAAGACACTGAGGCCGGGTTTGGGGTCCGCCTGGTTGGGGGCCCGGGCGCCCGAGAACCTCGAGAGGCTGGGAGGAGCGCGGGTGCCGCGGAGCCGGGACGCCTGGGTCCCGCGCGGGGGAGGGAGTGGGCCTGTGGAGCCGCCGGACTGGCGGCTTCTGCGCCCTTGCATTGGCTGCACTGCTCGTCCGTCAGCGCAGTGTGGTCCAATGCGCGCGTCTCGGGGGCGGGCACTGGTGCTGATGCTGCCGTCAGTCGGTGTTGCAGGGATGCGGCGGCGGGAGCAGCCGCCCTGACTCGCGGAGCATCCTCCTCGGAGAGGCACCGCGGCGGGGCGGGCGGGCGGGGACGCGGCGGGGAGTGAGAGAGGCGCGAGGCGGCAGACACCGCCAGCCCCGGCTCTGCCACCCGCCCGAGACGGAGACGGGGCGGCCCTGTGGCTCTGCTACCCACCCTCCAGCTTCTGGCGCCCCGAGAACCAGGTAAAAAGGGGGGGGGCTGCGGCGGAGACAGGCGGGGGGCGGGAGCCGATCGGGGGAGGGGAGCGGATCAGAGGGGGCGGGGGAGGCAGGACGGATGAATTGGGGGGCGGGGGCGCCGCGCTGAGAGGGCTGGCCGGGTGACAGAGAGGAGGCAAAGCCGCTGGGGGCTTGGGGGTCAGAGGCTCCTGTGGAAGGGGCACTGGCCCTGACAGCTGGGGAGAATGGGGAGGGGTGGGAGGGAGGGTCTTTGGGGGAAGGGATGGGGAGAGAAGGAGGGGCATCCAGAGGACTGTGAGGGGGTTCTAAAAGGGGGGTCCCCAGTCTGTGCTAGCCCCAGAGGCTGGAAGCAGCGCCGGGCCAGAGGGGCTGTTGTGTTCTGGAGGGTCTAACCAGCGAGAAACTGGGCTTCGTGGGAGGAGAGGAGAGGGGGCTGGAGAGGAGAGAGAAGTGGAGAGGGAAGGAAAGGGGCCAGGCCAAGGGCTTCGTCCTGAGAGGACCCACTGAGGACCAGGCTTTCCTGGGGGATGGGAGCCAAGGCGAGAAGAGGTTATTGGGAGAGGGCAGAGGGGAATGTGCCAAGGTGCTCCAGGCAGAGATGGGTCTGTGCTGGTGGAGAGCTGGGGAAGATGGGGTCTGAGGGAGAGGAGCGGAAGCTTGCGGGGGAAGGCTGGGGGTGATGAGAGAGGGAGACTGGGAAATCAGTAGGAGGGGGCTTTGCTGGGGTGGGAATGCGCTGGGGGCGGTGACAGGGTTCTGGTCAGAGAGTGCTGCAGGGGGAGAGGAAGCTGCTGGGCCCTTGGCTTGCTCCCCCACCCCTAAAGAGGAAGGGACCATTTCTCATGTCCCAGCCTCCTCCCCCAGCTGAAGCAGCAGTCTTCCCTGGGGTCTTTGGGTTGGGGTATGAGCCTTTGAACCCTTGATGGGCTCTTGGGGCACAACTGGCTTTGGGGTGCTGTTGTCTCCTTTATTCTCAGCCCCCTCCTGAGTCTTGGGAGAGGGCATTCGATGTCTCATTGAGCTAGCAAGGGCTGGGAGGGGCTTTTTCTTGGTGTCTGGAGGTGAAGGAGGAGGCTGTCCACCTGGAATAATGAAATAGATTTTTAGGGGGTGGGTCTTGGGTCCCCAGTCCCTTGGCTGCCCTGGGGGCTTCCAGATAGCCCTGTTTTTGTATGTGTTGGTGGGTGGGCATCTCTCCTCTTCCATTCATTCTTATCCTTCCCTCTTGTCCACCTTCCCAGTGTCTGGGTGTTCCTTTTGGGGGAGGGTAGACATTAGGGTCTTACTTTCTCTGTCTTCTGCCAGAGAAGGAGAAAGAAAGAAGGGGGAGGGAAGGAGAAGGGGAGGGAGGTCTGTGGTCCACTAACTGTGAGGCCTTCTGTTTTGTGGGTGCTTCAGCCCCTCAGTCCCTAGCTCCTCTTGCTTCCAGGGATGGCTCCAGGGATACTGGCATCTGAGGTGTGGCTGGATCTTTTGGGAGACAGGGGAGAAGGGTGTGCTGGGGGCTCTCCATTCATGCTAGAGGAAGTGTTCTCAGACCCATCCTGTCCTCAGATCCACAAGGGTGGGCGGGATGGATCAACCGGCCATGGCTGCTGGGCAGTTCTTTCCAGGAGCCTGGGCCTCTCCTGGCATCTTGGCCTGGGTTGAATCCATACGACAGTGGAGTTCTGAGAGGAGGGACTGGGTGATTGAGTGGCTGGTGGGGACCCCTCTTTCCTTCCAGGCTCAGTCACTACCCAGGTCCAGCTGCTCCCTCCTGCCTGCCCTTGCCAGTGACACAGACACTCTGACAATGATACACATGCTCAGTGGCACCCACCCAGACACACACCTACACAAGCACACACACCTGCGTACACAATACACCTCCTGGCAGCATACCGCCCACATTCCCCACCCAGAGAGGCTGCCACCTCGTGCCTGCCTCCTTGAGACCTCCCCCAGGTGCCTTGCTGTCATGTACACAACACACACACATGGTCACTACGTGCCCCCAGAGCCCCAAGCGCAGCACTGCCAGCCCTCACCCTTGGATGCACACAGCCCCCATCCAACCACTCACCTCCCCAGGCTCACAGCCATTGCAGGCACACCTGTGCTTCTTCCTCATACACCTTCAGTCCCTGCAACACACCCTCTCCTTCTAGACACCCCATCCCTCCCAGGTCTTCACAGCACATGTGCATACCCTCCTAGACACACCAGTCCCTGACCCCAGCAAGCTCATCCTGAAGTACCATGCGCATGTCTGTGTGGGTGCTGAGCACTTTGCCCCAGGCCTTTGTGTGTGTGCACGTGTGTGTGCACACCAACACACACTTGCTAATACACTTTATGCTGTGGTTCACCCCCTAAACCTCTCTTCTACTTTCTCTCTCACTCGCTTATCTTTGTACCTTCGGCCCAGGGCCTCCTACCCCTCCTGGTCACAACCACGACCCTTCCTGGTGGAGTCCAGCCCCCAGCTATACTTGGCTGCCCTGGGAGCCTTCCCATTTCTAAGTGGCCCCACCCCCCACATCAGTCCTCAGGCACAGGGGCCCCTACACCTGCCTGTGCACTGGAGACACTGTCCTTTCATTCGCAGCTCCCAAGTCCAGACCCCACAGGGATGCCCCGATTGTGTGTCCTCACCCGCCATCCACCCTGCTGCTCCATCTGTTGGTGCAGCTCCCCCACCCCTGCCCCTTCCACACTGATGGCCCTGTGGGCTCTTGGAGACTCATTCAACAAACAGTCTGATGCACACCTTCAGGGGTGTGCGTGGCACTTTGTTAGCATTTATGAAGCTGCTTCCCCACTGCCACCACTGCTGTTTGGCATGGTGGGGTGAGGGTGAGGCTGGGACTCCGCTGTGCTCCTCAGTGAGCCTCAGTTTCCTCACCTGTGAAATGGGATCCTCATCCCTACCTAATGGGATGTTACGAGGACTCACTGAGAGGACAATGATGGCAATGACAGTAGTAACAAGAACATTTATTGTGTACCTACTGTGTGCCTGGCCCTGTGCAAAGCACTCTGTAAACCTTACTTTGATGTATTTGTCAGGCACATAGAAAGTCCCCGTAAATGGTAGCTATTTTTATTGTCATTATCATAACCTTCCCTGCACACACACACACATACACACACCTGTCATAGATACCTTTAGGAACATTCCCAGGCACCTCGTGCTTACTCACAAGGCCGCCCCGGAAGCCATCTGTCCCCTCTGCATCACTGGGGTGCACCCACCCAGGCTGCTGTGCCGCAGCTGTGCACAGCATAGGTATGCTTGGTGCTTATCCCTCCCACCACCTACCTCCATGCTCCCAAGCACCTGTCCTCCGGCCCCCACTGCACCGAGTCATTCCATTGCACCTCCATCCCCAGCCCACCTGCTTCCCCAGCTCCACAAAGTGGCAACAACCTTGTCCTGTGCACCCTGAGCTATCAGCTCCTGGGCCCAGCCCGCTCCCTGCTTCTCTCCATGACACAGAGAGCTGCTTGGAGACCCATGGACATGCTCACTCATGCCCAGCCCACCCTGGCATGGGACTCTGACTTATCTTTAGACCTGTTTGTTCCTTCTCCTGCCCTCTGAGTCAGGACAATTGACGAGCAGAGTTGAGGAGGACACGAGGGATAGGGATTAGACAGAACCAAATCTGAATCCCAGCTCCGCCATTTACTATTTGTGGGACCTTGGATGGGTCCCTTCTCCCCTTTGAATATCTATTTCCTCATCTGTAAAAGGAGCAGTGATAATACTTGTCTTGCTTACTTTTCTCACCAAACCCTGGTGAGGATCAAAGGAAACACTATGCACTCAGTACTGCAAACTGTAAAAGGCCGAGATGAGAAGTTTTAAAAATAATCATTAATACGACACACTTTTTTTTTCACATGTTAGTCTACGCCAGGCACTGTACTAGGTGCTTTATGTATGTTAATTCTAATTTTGACAACACTATTACTATCTGTATTTTATACATAAAGAAAGTGAAGCACAGAGAGGCTGGGTAACTTACCAAAGATCACACAGCTGGGTAGGGGTAGAGCTGGCATTTGAACCCAGGCTTTGGAGCCAGTGCCTCTAACCACTGTGCTGTCTTGTTTTTGCTGCTGCTGAGGTTATGGCTGGGTTTGGACAGGCATGGGGTCTTCCCTTTTTTTCTGCCAGATCATCACGGCTGGAAGGAAGGGGAGGTAGGAACTGTTCACTGTCTGCCAATCCTGCCTGGAGTTTCATGGGGGAGAAGGGACCCTCCCAAAAACACTCTGCACCTGAAAAGAACCTCAGGGGTCAAGCAGTCTGCTGTCCTCTTCCATATGATTCAAGAGCCTCCCCCACGCCGAGCCTCTCTGAGCAGCAGTCATCCGGTCTCACCTCAAACACCTCCACAGACGGGGAACTCACCGCCCCCCGAGGCAGCCTACTCCATTGTTGGATGCTTTAGATTGCCAGCCAGCAAGTTTCTCTTTAGCCTGAGCCAAAATCTCCCCCCGTAGCACGCACTTCTCCCACCTGTCCACGGGCTGCCTTCTGGGGCCACCAGAATGTGTGTAAACCCAGCTCTTCCTCCCTGGCGCCTGGAGGAGGCCCCTGCTGTCTCACTCCCAGCTGGCATGAGAGGATGCTGGCGTGAGGAGAGGAGAGCCAGAGGGAGGCCGGCATCCCCATGGCTGGAGGTGTGTGTATGGGCGTGTGTTTGTGTGTGTGGGCATTGACAGAGAGGGGGCTGTGTGGATGTGGGGAGAAGGCCCTTGGCCAGGGGCTCTGCTTGTGTGGGCATGGATCACCATTTGCATACATGCCCCTGGTGGTGTGGGGCTGAGGCCTTTGGTCAGGCAGGAGGGCCCAGGTCCAGGTCAGCAAGTGCAATGGGAGGTGTCTGGAATGGAAGGCCAGCGACCTTGGTTCTAGTCTTGCTTTTCTGTGTGATCCCAGGCCAGCTCACTGCCCCTCCCTGGGACTCAGTTTCCACATCAGGAAAAAAGGAGAAGATGAACCCCATGAGCTCTGAGGTCTCTGTCTCCCAGTCCCAAGAGTGGGCTTTAGAGCGGGGCACCTGAGAGAGCCGTGTCCCCTGTGAAGGCCAGATCAGAGGAGGGTGGCTCTGACCCCCAGACACAGTGGTAAAAGAAATGCCTTGGAGCCCTCACACCCTTTACCTGCCCTGTGGCCTCAGGCAAGTGAATTCATCGTTCTAAGCTCAGCTTCCTGGTCTGTAAGCCAGAGTGACAAAATGACCTCCTAGAAGCTGAAGGATTGAATACGACAGTGTACATGGGGTCCAGCCTGGTATCTGATGCAGACGGAGCCCAAAGCTTGCAGCCCAGAGGCTTCAGTGGCACTGACTTGGCCATGGGAAGATGAGGAGGAGGCCCTGGCCTAGGAGGACCCAGGAAGAGTTACCGGGAGAGGGTAATGTTGAGTTATTGGGAGAGGGTAATGTTGAGTTATCGGGAGAGGGTAATGTTATCAGGAGAGGGTAATGTTGGGGAGAGGCAGCAGAAGTCCTGAGGGCAGCCTAGCCACTTCCTGCCCCATCCACTCCAGCTTGGGCACCACTGGCCCAAGGCTGCTGAGTCTATCTGTGGGCGGGGGCAGGGTGGGAGGCACTAGGGAGCTGACTGGGTGCAGAACCCCAGGATTACTCAGGAGGTCAGCTCCTCAGAGGTGTGGTGGCTCTGGGCCAGCAGTGGGTTGGGTGGCAGTGTGCACTGCACTGACGTCAGTGAGCAGGCAGGTTCCCCAGGGCCACCCTGCAGTGTCCCTGCACTGGCAGTGGGCAATGGAAGCAGAAAAGTGGGCCCTGGGGGGGCAGTACTTGGACGCTGTGGGTGCAGGGGGGCTTCCTCTGCAATGCATAAACCTGGGGAGGAGCTGTTGCCTTGTACAACTCCAGGGGACACTGTTTACTTGATGTGGCCATATGAGGCAATGGCCCTGGCCTGTGGGGAGACCTCTGGAGAAAGGGTTGCTGCTGAGTTCCAGGAGCTGAGGAAGGATGGAGCATCCCAGGGTAGCAGGAGCCCCCTGTGTTCTGGGAGAAGGGTGGGTTGGAGGCTGGGTCGGCTGTAGCCTGGGCCTGGGGCGGGAGAGGCCTGGGGAGGGGAAAGGCGAGGGAAAGAGCAGCACATTTCCTGGACACTGAGTGTGGGAATGGAAAGGACCCAGGTGTCCGCTGGCTCACTCCTCCTGGGGCCATCTCTGCCTGGCAAGCGTGAAGCCACCCCAAGGGCCTGTGGATCCCTGGGGAGAGAGGACTCAGGGAGTGCTGGGGCTTCCTCCTGGTCAGCCCCGCAGCCCCTGTGCCCCCCGCAGCCTGGCTGGCCTCTGCTGCAGAGCTGTGGGCTGCGGGGAGAATGAGTAATGAACCTTGAGGGGCCGCAGGCCCAGACCTTGCTTCTGACCCTCCCTGGAGGCACCGCATAAGCCCAGCCTCTGTCCCTGAACCGGCTCACAGAAGCCTGCCTGCATGGCACCCCTCCCACTCTCCCTCCACATGGACCAGTAGAACCTCTACCTCCTGGACTCTCACCCCTTCACCTCCCTGCCCCTCCACCCAGATAACATTCCCTTTGGCTCTCAGGACCCAGGCATCTGCCTTCCAGCCTCTGACAGCCTCCCCACCATCTTTCACTCTATCTGTCCTCCTCCAACTTCCTGCCCCTAGCTTTTCCCACAGAACCCGTCTGCCATCTCCCTAAAGGGTGGTGGATGTGACCATGGCAGGGGGTCTGGGCTGGGGGTGAGGCAGATGAAAGAATCCCTCCTATTCTGAGCTTGGGGGTGAGTGGACAGCAGCACGAAATCCTATTCCCTCCGCCAGTGGAAATCGATAGCTAATTAATTCCCTCCCCAAAATAGTGTCCGGAGGTGGGGGTGGGTGCTGGGAGAGCAGCAGACAGAGGCTAGGCCAGGCCAGACTGAGATGGAGACCCTAGCAGGGAGGGAGGGAGGCACGCTGGTCACTCTTCTGGCCACAGGGCTGTCCCTTTGCTGAGGGTCTTTGGCTACCCCTTCTGGAAAAGAGGAAAAGCTTAGACCTTTCCCTCCTGCGACGCCTGAGGAGCCCCCTTCCCTGCCCTGGGCTGGGGATGCATGTGAGTGTGGGGGGGTGAGGGCGTCAATCAGGCTGGGAGCAGGTGCTGCATTTAATTTGATTGGCTAATTAGCCTGCACATGTTAATTATCTCCATTACCCAATGAGGAGAGGCAGTGGCAAAGCTATATATAACCTGACAGTGTTTGTAAGGAGTGGGGGCTGCTTGCCTGGATCTCCTCCCCACTGCCCAGGCAGAGGCAGTCCTTGGAGGGGTGCTGGGGCAGGACATTGGAGCCTTGTAGGATTGGGAGGGCAGCAGTCAGGAGTTGGATGGCAGGACCCAAGGGCTGAGCTTTACGGGCCTCTTGGAGATGGCTGCCCCAACGCTCCTGACTACCTTCTGAGGCCTTTTCTGTCCAATCTTCCTCTGCACAAGGGTTACTCTCCAGACGCCCCCTCGCTATGGCTTTTTAGGAGGTCCCTCGTTTCCATCCACATAGCTCTTTGGCTCCTCACTGCACCTCTGCAGCCTTCCCCTCCCGAAGTCAGCCCTCTGCTTATCTTCTGGTTCTCACCTCACTGAGTTACACCTGTGGCTGTCCTGTGCTTTTTCTATTTCCTGGGAATGCTGGAGTCAAGCAGACTTGGATCTGAGTCTCAGTTCCCCGCTGACTGGCCACGTGACCTTGGGCAAGTCCCCAGATCTCTTTACCTGGGTTTCCCCAGGGGTTAATGAGGATAATGGGACTTCTCAGAGTGATTATGTAAAATGACATTTGTAAAAATGCCCAGCACCCAGGGCACTGACAAATGCTGTTTGGATTTGGAATTTAATTTTCTCTGTCTTTTCTTTCATTTCTCCCCACTAGGCCACCTTTCTCCTCCATTACTCTTCCATCTCTGTCACTTTTCAGGTACTTCCTCTCCTTCCTCTTTCTCTCCCCTCTTGCTTCAGTCTTTCCCTGTCTTTTTCTAAACTCTAGCCCCTCCCTGTTTCTCTCCCAGGCTTCTCCCCACCTCCTTCCCTCCCTCCCTCCCCAAAATAAAATCAATGCAATATTCAGGAGGGTTGTTGGATATAAATAATTACGACTTGGAGTTTAACGAGATGCAAATTCCCCTCCCCGGCGTGGGGTATAAATTGCTCTCTGACAGCCCGTTACAAGGGTAATCATTTCAGAAAGGCAATTTTATGCAAATGAGCCTGCCTGCCTCCTGGTGGCTCCCCCAATCTTGGGTGGGGGGTGCGCAGAGGGAACTGAAGGGTGAAGAGAGCCCAGGTAGTGGGGCCAGTCCTGAGGCTGAGCACCGAGAACTGGAAGTTGAGGATGACAGACATTTAGCTTCAGAAAGGACCTGGGTTGATAAGCAGAGAGGCTGGGGCCTGGGAAGGGGCGAGCGTGGTTTTGGGGGAACTGGAGACACAGAATTGGATGCCAGTGTCCCTGCTAGGATAGAGAGGGCTTGGGACCTGGATATCTGGGTCCTGGCTGGCTTCTCTCCCTTGCCCCCTTCCCAGTCTGGTTACCCTGTGATACCATTGACGAATTGGCATTTAATTAATCCCAATGAATTATTTAGCAACTTCATTATCCAGTATCAAGGGCTGATGAGAGGAACAGTGGCTGGAGGTGGGAGCCAGGCAAAGACGTTGGGCGGTTCAGAGAAGGGGCTGGGGTCACCAGGCCGAGGAGAGTGACTAGCCTCACTCGAGGAGCTGGCCTTGTTCCTGACACCCAGGTCCTTTGAGAGGGTGAGGGCGCGGGCAGATGGGTTGGGCTCTTACAGGGCTGGAACGTGTCACCTCTCCCTGTCGACATCTCAAACCAATGCTGCCCCTAGTGCGTGCCATCTCTCCCAAGTGCTGGCCCCTGGAATCCGTGTCTCTTGCCTCGGAACCCTCTGCAGGTCAGGGCCTCTCGCTAAGTTATGTAGGGAAACAGTCTGGTGCCTGCTGATATGAGTGGGGAGCCCGGCACTGACAGCCCCTGTCGTTGGAGCCCCTCATTAACCCTTTCCTCTCTGTTCTCCCGCAGGCATCCCTCCCCGCTCTTCCGTCGGAGCCCGCGGCGGGGGAGGGGCGCCGCCGCCGCCACCCGAGGGAAGCCGGCGCCTGGTCCTCTGCGCGCCTCGCCCCGCGGCCGGGCCCATGGCACTGTGAGCCGGCAAGAGAGCCCCGCTCGGCGCGGGGAGCTCCCGGCCCCCTCCCGCCCCATGCGCCCGCGGCTCTGAAGCCTGAGCGGGGGCCGGGGGCCTGGCGGGGCCGGGGCCGCCGGAGGCATGGCGCCCGGGAGTCGGTGGCGGCTGCCACCGCCGCCGCCGCTGCTGCTGCTGCTGCTGCTGGCGCTGGCGGCGCGCGCGGACGGCCTGGAGTTCGGCGGCGGACCCGGGCAGTGGGCTCGCTACGCGCGCTGGGCAGGCGCGGCGAGCAGCGGCGAGCTTAGCTTCAGCCTGCGTACTAACGCCACGCGCGCGCTGCTGCTCTACCTGGATGACGGCGGCGACTGCGACTTCCTGGAGCTGCTGCTGGTAGACGGCCGCCTGCGGCTGCGCTTCACGCTTTCATGCGCCGAGCCGGCCACGCTGCAGCTGGACACGCCGGTGGCCGACGACCGCTGGCACATGGTGCTGCTGACACGCGACGCGCGCCGCACGGCGCTGGCGGTGGACGGCGAGGCCCGCGCCGCGGAGGTGCGCTCCAAGCGGCGCGAGATGCAGGTGGCCAGCGACCTGTTCGTGGGCGGCATCCCGCCCGACGTGCGCCTCTCGGCGCTCACGCTGAGCACCGTCAAGTACGAGCCGCCCTTCCGCGGCCTCTTGGCCAACCTGAAACTGGGCGAGCGGCCCCCCGCGCTGCTGGGCAGCCAGGGCCTGCGCGGCGCCACCGCCGACCCGCTGTGCGCGCCCGCGCGCAACCCCTGCGCCAACGGCGGCCTCTGCACTGTGCTGGCCCCCGGCGAGGTGGGCTGCGACTGCAGCCACACGGGCTTCGGCGGCAAGTTCTGCAGCGAAGGTGAGCTCCGGGGAGCGGCCGCCTGGCGCCTGGGCGCGGGGGTGAGGTCCTGGGGCGCCCCGTGGGGGTCGGAGCCTGTGGGGGCTCCTGAGGCACGGGGGCTGGGCGCGAGGGCTTGTGAGTGGGTGCGAGCGCGCCAGGACTGCGGGGACGCGTGTCCGGGCGAGGGCGCGTGGGGTTGGCGGTGGGCGGGGCGAGCGGGCGTGGCCGGCGTGGGCGTGGTCAGCGTGAGTCCCGCGGCGACCTGTGGGCAGCCTGTGTGGCCAGGTTCTGAAGGGGCTGCTGAGGGTGGGGTGCACGAAGCCCTGTGGGCTTGGTGGGTGAGGGGCTGTGAGGCGCTGGTGAAGGCTTGTGGATGGGGTCTGCGTGGACAGGGCTCATTAAAGGCAGTGGGCGGGGACCATGGGGCCCCTGGAGGACAGTGGGTGGGGCTTCTGCATAGAGCGGGACCTCGTATGAGGCCGTGAGGGGCGGTGGGTGGGGCCGGCGTGGAAAGGCCAGTGTGGGCAGGGCTTATGAGACAGGGGGCAGGACCTCGTATGAGGCCATGAGGGGCTGTGAGTGGGGCCTGTGTGGAAGGCCAGTGTGGGCGGGGTCTATGAGACAGGGGGCGGGGCCTCATGTGAGACCGTGAGGGGCTGAGTGGGGCCTGTGTGGAAGGCCAGTGTGGGCGGGGCCTCGTGTGAGACCGTGAGGGGCTATGAATAGGACCTGTGTGGAAGGCCAGTGTGGTCAGGGCCTACGAGACAGGGCAGACCTTGTATGAGGCTCTGAGGGGCTGAGTGGGGTCTGTGTGGAAGGCCAGTGTGAGCGGGGCCTATTAGACAGGGGACTGGGCCTCCTGTGAGATCATGAGGGGCTGAGCGGGGCCTGTGTGGGCGGGGCCTATGAGACAGGGGGCGAGGCCCCGTGTGAAACCGTGAGGGGCTGAGTGGGGCGTGTGTGGAGAGGCCAGTGTGGGCAGGGCCTATGAGACAGGGATTGGAGCCATGTGGTGGGGCCTTCGGGCAGGGGGGCGTAGTCGACAGTGGGTCGCAGTCTTTGAAGGTCCGCGAGTGAAGGGCGGGAAGTGCGGCCTGTGCGGCCTGAACAAGCACCAAGGGATGAGGGCCTAGGTGTGAGGACGCTGAGTGTAAGGAGAAGGGCACAATAGCGATTCCAGGGCAGGCGAGGGAGAATGGGGATTGCGAAGCTGTGGCCAGGAAGGGAGGGCTTCTTTTTCACCACAGAATCCTCAGAGCGCCTTCAAAGAGTAAAGGGAAAGCGAGGGAGAGGGTGGCTGAGGCTTCTCAGGCTCCTTACGAGGAGTGGACAGTTTGGGTGAGGGGCAGGGATGGCCAATAGTTTCTCTTGATGACAGACGGGGCGTGGAGCCCCTGAGAGCGTCGGGTTTGGTGGGAGATTGCTGGGCTGGGCAGGGCGAGGTGGGACCCTGGGCTGTGGGGCTGACTATGGAATGGCGCTTGGGAGAGAGGCTCAGCGGAGGGAGGGGTCCGGCCAGCACCCGCGCTGCCCGAGGCCGAGAGTCTTTCCAAGACCGTGAAGTGGAGAAGTGCGGGCGGGCCCTGGGCTGAGCGGCCCGGGGCAGGGCTGTGGTGTCGGGGGGCTGAGGGGAGGAGGCACTTGGAGGAGCCTCTTTCTTAAGGGTCTGGCTGGGCGGTGAGAAGGGGCTCCTCTATCAGTCTGGGGGCGGCGCATGCGCGTCTCTCCCCGCCCCTCGTCCCTGTTCTTCCAGTCCGTGTGTGCCTCAGGCCTGCCCTCCTCTCCCCTGGTCCCTCTAGAAGCTGTGGGCCACTCAGCGGTTGTGTGTGTGTGTTCGTCCTCCCTCCCGGGGCAGAGGCTTTTGAGGGAGCGTGTGCATGTGCACGTGTGCGCCAGCAAAACGAAATGGCCTGGTACTGCTTTGGGGATAAGTGTCCTGTGGCTGTGTGCCTATGGGCAGCCATGGGAGGGGCCCAGCCTGCAGGTGTGGCCCTGGGTGTGGGAAGCCTGCACTTGGGAGTGTCGTTTGCCTGCGCATCTGTAGTTGTGGTCGATGAATACATTAGAAAGTTCTGGGGATTGTTTTCTTGGGGTTATTGGTACAAGGTTGTGGGATGCCTCATGAGAAACTGTGTATTAAGTTAAGCTGACACCTTCTCACCCTTTCTCCAAGGAGTTCAGGTGTTTCCTAAACTGTGAAATTCTGTGTTGGTGTGTGTTTGCCTGCGTGTAGAGGCCCGCGAGTCTGGCAGTGTGTATTTGACGTGTGAATGGGTCTGTTTGAATAGCAGTGTTTGCAGATAGGAGCCTAGTGCCTAGTAGAGTGAGTAGTTCCCAAGTGTGAGGGTGTCTGCTCATGTGCCTGTGTTTTAATGTGAGGCTTCAGTAAGACAGCTGGAATGTATGAGGACTTTTTCTTTCCAGAACCTTAATTTGATCCTCTGGTTCCTCTACCCTTCCCCCAAAGCCCGCCTAAGAAAACAGGATGAACCATCCTCTAATTTGATGGAGGGAAAGCTCGAGCTTCAGGAGGTTAGGGTAACTGGTCCCTGGCCTCACTGTGGCTGAATTGGGCTTGGGTGTATGAAAAATGCAGCCAGAGGCACCTTGGTCAACCAGAGCCTTTGTATCCATTCCCTGAGAGGATTCATTGGCCAGAGGCTTCCAGTGAGGCAAACAAGTGCATGCTTCTGAATATGGGTTGTGTGGTTGTGTGTCTAAGATGTGTTTGAGTAACTGTGGGAGAGGGATGGATGTGTGTATAATATGGCTTGGTATCAGATGAATGTTTGTGTCAGCTGTGGTGAAGCTGTGAGAGATGGTTGAGTATGTGTATCTGACCCATTGTGTGTGTGTGTATGTGTGAGATTCATGTAAGAAAAGGGAACGTGAGCCGGGTGCGGTGGCTCACACCTGTAATCCCAGCACTTTGGAGGCTGAAGTGGGCAGATTACTTGAGGTCAGGAGTTCGAGACCAGCCTGGCCAACATGGTGAAACCCCGTCTCTACTAAAAATACAAAAATCAACCAGGCATGGTGGCGGGTGCTTGTAATCCCCACTACTTGGGAAGCTGAGGCAGGAGAATTGCTTGAACCTGGGAGGTGGAGGTTGCAGTGAGCTGAGATGACACCACTGCACTCTAGCCTGGGCGACAAAATGAGACTCCATCTCAAAAAAAAAAAAAAAAAGGCCGGGTGCGGTGGCTCAAGCCTGTAATCCCAGCACTTTGGGAGGCCGAGACGGGTGGATCACGAGGTCAGGAGATCGAGACCATCCTGGCTAACCTGGTGAAACCCCGTCTCTACTAAAAAATACAAAAAACTAGCCGGGCGAGGTGGCGGGCGCCTGTAGTCCCAGCTACTCAGGAGGCTGAGGCAGGAGAATGGAGTAAACCCAGGAGGCGGAGCTTGCAGTGAGCTGAGATCCGGCCACTGCACTCCAGCCTGGGCGACAGAGCCAGACTCCGTCTCAAAAAAAAAAAAAAAAAAAAGGGAAAGTGAGATATAAGGTGGGTGCCAGCTGGTAGGGGCAGGGTTGCCTGTGTGTATGTGGTGTGTGTGTGATGTGTGTGTGTGGTATCTTTTGAGAGAGCAGTGCTTTGTGGTAAAGGGGGAGTGTTGTGTCTTTATTCATTTCTGTATTTCCAGCACCTAATCTGGTACCAGACACATAGTGGGTGTTTGATAAAGATTTGTGGAATGAATGGAGAGATGTTAATAAGTAATTGAGAGAATAAAGGCTTGGGGCAAAGCTGTACATACATATGAAAACATGTATGTATGTATTTTCAGATATATGTTGTGGGTGGGCATGGGGGTTGTAGGCACTGATTGCATCTGGAGATGACAGGCACAGCAACAACCCTACTGATTCCCTTCTTTTCTCTCCCCACTCTGCAACCTCATTTCTTCTTCAATTTGTTCCTTATTTCCTGGGTAGCTTTTATAATATCCTGTGCTCATTGTACTTCGAGTACTTTCTCATCCAGTCAAGGAGGAAAGACATGGGCTCCCATGGTTGGGTACTGGGGTGAGGAAGGAAGACTTTAAGGGGAGCAGGCCTGGCTCCTGATCTCTGAGACAACTCTAGGGGTCAGAATCCCCAGGCCTCCTTGGAGTTATAATCACTTTATCATCTGTTGTGAGTGGTTCCCAACTCTTTCTGAGACTGAGGAGTTTTTTGTTTGTTTGTTTGTTTGTTTTTTGAGACAGACTCTCGCTTTGTGCCCAGGCTGGAGTGCAATGGCACGAGCTCAGCTCACTGCAATCTCTGCCTCCTGGGGTCAAGTGATTATCCTGCCTCAGCCTCCCCAGTAGCTGGGATTACAGGCACCTGCCACTATGCCCAACTAATTTTTGTATTTTTAGTAGAGATGGGTTTTCACCATGTTGGTCAGGCTGGTCTCCAACTCCCGACCTCAGGTGATCTGCTTGCCTTTGCCTCTCAAAGTGCTGGGATTACAGGCGTGAGCCACCGCGCCTGGCCCACTGAGGACATTTTAAGAAGTCAGTAATTCACAGTACCCCTTCCAAAGTAGTTATTATTTTTATATCTGTTTAGTGTGAGTATAAATGACTCAAAGCTACTGTGAATTTGGAAAAGCTTTTAGATGACTTTGATGTTATATTTGCCATTGTGGTTAATAAAATATACATTAGAAAAATGGTTTTAGCTTTATATGCAAGATGTTTCAATCTGCCTTCAGATGTTTGGTGTGCATACGGATTTGTGTATCCTTTGGAATCCCTCCTGCTCTCCCAGGGTCTGGGCTTACTCATTGATGGAGAACCTCCATGCTAGGAAATTTGCATTCTCTCTCTCTCTCTCAGGGATCTGGCCACACATAATTGAAGACAGAGCTCAGTAGGAGTGGCTGAGAGTCTGTCTACTGTTGCTGATTATCTGCCAAAGCTGGGATAGAGTAGACTGGGATCTTGCAATTATTTGCATGTCAGTGCTTACTCATGTCACCTGTGTGTGTGGAGAAGGGGCTGAAAAGGGATCAAAGAAGAAGGGATGTGCAGGCATGTGTGTGAGACCTCAGGTGGAGTGATGGTGCAGGTGTTTAGAACAGAGTGTCAGGTATATACGATTTGCTCAGGAGAGAAATAGGAAACTAGTTGTAATGTGTGTGCTTGCAGGGAGGTAGACACACATGTCTCATGTGTTTTGTGTTAATGATTTAATTCAACAGGTAGTTATCAAGGCCTCCTTTGTGATAGACTGTGTGTTGGAGGCTACAGTGGGGTCAGAGATGAATAAGATGACTCTGTGCTCTGGGAGTTGACTGTTTTTTTTTTTTTTTGAGGTGGAATTTTGCTCTTGTTGCCCAGGCTG